TACAGATTCAAAGATTTTATATTGGACTGTATAGAAAAATGACTGAACCAAACAAACAGTGTGGAGAGGGAGAAGAGTCAAGGAATGAAGTGGATGACGAATCTATTGCGTCAGACTCGAGTGCAGTCACGCATCCGCCCTCGACCTTGAAAAGACCACCAGTGAAAGAGCCAGTAAATCGTCTAGAGGGTGGCTTGAAAATTCACAAAATGGTCCATGTTCCTCCCAGTAACAAGAAGAATGGTGCCCTGAGAAAGTGTCGCGTGAGTGCTAAGCACAAGATTAGAAAAGAAACAAGTATCATGTGTGCAGGCTGTGGTGTGGCTCTCTGCAAACTTTCATGTTTCAATGTTTATCACACGAAGAAAAACTAATAAAGAGGTATGGAAAGGCATTTATTGCATAAAATATTGTATTTTAATTAGTTCCTGAAAATTTCGTTTTTAAAAACCAATTTTTGTAGAAGTTGTTTAGGAAAAAGTAACTACATGAATTTTAGTGACATAAGGTTTAAAGGGCCTGCCAGGACGGGTGGGATTTAAATACCCTTTGCGCCAGTCAAAGAGTTAATGTAATTTTTTATCTTGTTTTAATACCCAAGCTGGCATGGAACATTCAGGTTTTACATGTGCAATAAACCCTTGTTCAAGTTGGGGGTTAGGTTCCCTCAGAATAGTGTGTTACTTAAATGAGCACTGGACAGATGTTATACCTTATGGGTGAAATGGGAACCCCAGAAGTCTCCCATTAATATCTAGATATGAAGACCTTGTACATATACTTGAATGACCATAGGCATACTGCATTAAGTTATCAGAATCACCGGGTCTGTAGCTTGGGTTTCGTGCATGTACAAGTCTCAAGTGTAATAGTACCTCATGTTTTCATAATTTATTGGTCCATAGGTTGTAGAGATTGATATTGTGACATGCCTGAAAACTAGAATAGTCAAGTTGGAGCACCACCACTTGAATGTCTGTTGCTAGGCAGTGAGTGGCTTGTTAGAACACGTTTCTGTGGCAATGAGTACGTGCAAAATGCTAGTGGAACAGTGTTCTTCATTCACTCCACCGCAGAGTTATATAGGGAGGATCAGTGACCAAGACCATCAGCTGTTGAGAGGTAGCAGTTGAGCATGGATGCAGTAGGGAGAATCCTGACTGTTGGAGGCCGGTACCAAGCAACAAATATGTGGAGACATAGCAAACTGGAAAGACTTGAGATGTGCTGTAGTTATTTGTAGTTACATGTAATAAGCATCCAGTAAATTTAACCCTGTGTGTAGTCACTGAGATGTGGCAAGTGGTGACAGAAGTTGCAGTTTATTGTGGATTGTTTGGTTGGAACTGACCTTGCGGGGGACATGAAGAGTCTCATGACTGACTCCTGCAGCTGGCATCAGGGAAGACCTTCCCCCACCTTGAAAGAAGTGTTAGTATGGTTGACATGGGGATGGCACCCACTGATGTCTTGGATGTTCATTTCTGAGATCACTGATGGGTATATCCTGGGACAGGATGTCTTGCAGGCCCACGTTGCATCTGTGATGTGAGTGGGCGATGTAGTGGGATGTGTCCGTGTTCATAATATCTGAGTGGCAGTGACTTGGTGTGCTAGTATACTTTTGGTTTGGCTGGAAGGCCTCATGGAGGTGATGGATAGCCTTGCAGGGATGGGTTCCAGGGCTGCCTATTGAGCTGGAGTATGTGGGGCAAGAATGTTGGTCCAGGCCACAAAGGAGGTGCCTATTAAAATGGTTGGAGACTGCTGGCCACGGAAGCACGCTGATGGAAGTGCACCCCAAGGGGACCGTGGTGGATGGAATGGACAGCCCTAAGGAGGGAGCAGTCGGACTACAGCAAGGCAAGGCCAATTCTAAAGGGAAAGAAGGCTGGATGACTTGCAAAATGGAAGAAGAGTATCAGAGCTAATGTGACGTCACAGTAATATTCACAAGGGTAATTGTGGATGTAACAAGGAGGCCTCCTCAAGGCAGACAGGGCTTGGGACAACATAGCCTTGAGGAGGAAGCAATGAGCCATGATGCCTAAAAGCCAGAATAGAGGAATCAGGGGAGAGCCAGGGAAACCTCCATTGCTAGGCAACAGCTTGTTAAAGCACATTTCTGTGGCAGTGAATATTCACACAACAGTAGAAGAACTGCTGAAGGCAGCATTTTATGTCTGGTCTGCCCCAGAGTTACATATGAAGGACCAATAGGGCCAGTGAGTAGCAGTCTGTGGTTAGCTGGATGACTCCCAGAGTTGAGAGAGTAAAATGTGGTTGTGAGTGCTAAGGGACTCAGAAGCAAAAATGAGTGTGCTGGTGAGGGCCAGCAGTGATTTACCCAACCCAGTTAGTGGCAGTGTGATGGGGCATGACTCCCAGAGTCATGAGACAGCAAAGTTTGGTCATGAGTCACACAGTACTTAGAACTAATAGTGAGTGTGCTGGCAATGGCCAGCAGCAGAGTACCAGACCATGTCCAGTCATGAGACAGGAAGACGTGATTATTGATCCTGCAGGGCACGAAGTGAGGAATGACTGTTGACAAGGGTCAGCAGCAAATTACCAGGCTGGATCAGTACCAGAGCTGGGCCAATGGTAGTTGACTGCAGTAGTCAAACCCCTCCTCTTGTTAGAGAGGAGGCCCAATTTTGAAACAGAAGTGGTCATGGAATGAACAAAAATGTTATGGGTCTTGACAGGGCCTGAAACCAAGAATGACTGTGCTGGCGAGACCAGTAGCAAATTACTGCTCTACTCAGCACTATAGATGAAAAAGCTCTCTTTAGGCATATTTGAACCCTACAGAGCACCCGTTAAGTTCACTTCATCTCATCTGTATGCATGAAACCTCTCAGGAACTGCTGAATGAACTTTTTGTGAAGTTGATATTAGGGAGCTGTATAAAAATTTGTTGGCATATTCTACAGGGTCCTGCAGGGAAACCTGTTGGTTTGTAAATTAGTATAATGGAGTTAATTTTGTATTTATTTACTTATTTTGTTTGTCATAATACATAACTATGTATGTCATTTTATGTGTATAACTGCCAGCCCATTTTGTCTTGAGAATTACACCATCCAGATGCTTCTCTTTATAAGCATTCTTGCAGCCTCGTCTTGAAGTTGTTCATTTAGCGTCTTACCATGTCGGGGAACATTGCTGTGATTTCATGTTCAGTTGCAGCTTTCCATTTATGAACTGTACATAGTCTGTTGATGAATGCCCCAAAGGAAGTAATCGCATATGCTCAAGCCAGGTGACCGAGCAAGCCCCGGGAGATCATTGCACTGTGAAATGACAAGCCGAGGAAACATTTCTAGCACGACTATTATGGAAGCTCTCTCAGTGTGAGCAATGGCCCTATCTTGTTGAAACTAGATAGTTTGTTGAATAATTCCAAGTCTGCTGATTTGTGGTGCAAGGAAATTATGCAGCATGTGAACATAGCATCCAGAGTTTACTGTCACAGCATGTCCACCCTCCCCAAAGAAATATGGGCCTGTCACACCAAAGCACAGAATGTACCGTTAAGGGAAATGTTTGTTTCAGCGTGTTAGAATTGTTTAAAGTAAGGTATCCCTGTAACAGGCTGTGGCGGTCCATAGGGTTGTGAGATGTTGAGGCTGTTTATTCTTTTGATGTTATGCTCTATTACAGTAGGACTTTGAGGCATATATTAAACAATTTGTATTGATCTTCTTTTAGTCTGTATAATAACGCTGAACAGTGAGGCCATAATATTGATTTGTTTATTCATTCAGTATGTAGTTTTGACTTCTTGCCAATTTGTATAAGTATAAACCAACAGTGAAGAGTGTATCATAGTTGTAATTTTCCAGTCTGTATGATCTAGGACATTTCTTCCATAAGTGTTAACAGTTTTCAGATAGTAAGATGAAAGGTATTTTCAAAATCCAGAGGCAATAACATAGTGAGTGCATCAGAAATGTTGTGCTATACATACATTTAAATTCACTGCTTCAAGTGGGGAATATGTTGCTGTGAGGTGATGAAATCTTGCTGTGTTCTTTTGCAGAAAGTTAAACATGCCAAGCTTGCAGAAGGGGTGGAGTCTGCCATAACAGACAAGAAGTATGTGACCGGGGTGGACACCAGTCAGCTGGATATGTGTTACCCTGCTATCATCCAGAGTGGTGGGAACTACAATCTGAAATTCAGTGTTGTCAGCGACAAGAATGTCCTGCACTTTGGAGCTATCGTTTGCTCGCTTGGTGCGAGATACAAGTCATACTGCTCCAACATTGTGCGAACTCTTCTGGTCAATCCCACAGATGCCATTCAGGTTGAGCTTGATACAGTATATTCTTTCCTTCAGTATTTCTTCATCTTCACTGATTGTCCCATCACAGTTTGTGCCCTTCTCCACCCTTACCACTTGAGAATTAAAGCCTCCATAATGCATATGTTTCTCCTGCAGCAATATGTAATCAAAACGTTTATCTGTTTGTTGTTATGTTGCAGGAAAACTACAATTTCCTTATTGCTCTTGAAGAAGAATTGCTGAAAGTGTTGGTAGATGGCACAGCTCTGAACGTTGTGTATCAGGCTGGCGTCAAGTATGCAGAGAAAGAGAAGCCAGATCTCGTGGCAAACCTTACAAAAAACTTTGGATTTGCTACAGGAATTGAATTTCGGGAGAGTTCTCTTGTTATTGGTCCCAAAACAACTGTTTGTGCCCGCAAAGACATGGTGTTCAATGTGAATGTTGGGCTGTCTGGGCTAACAAATAAGGAAGCTTCTGATAAGGAGGGCAAAGTATACGCTCTCTTCATTGGCGACACTGTTCAAGTTAATGTTGTAAGTGGCTAAACAAATTTGTAACATTTGCTGGTAGTGTATTTCTTTTGTAACAGTCACTCACAGCACTTGTGCTATTGGCTTACGCATTAGTCCAACCACTTTTAGCAATCCACTAGTGGTTTGCAGTATTTCACAATAAAGAAATGAATAGGAATTGATCTCTGTATACATCGAGAATTGAAGCAAGGCCCATTTAGTGAAAGAGGAAGAAATTGTTTGTTATGAAAGAGAAGTATTTTGTCTTGTCACAGTCTGTGACTGTCTGACTTTAGTTGGAGGTAGCGGTCTGGACCGAACACTGGTAAGCAATGGGGCTTGGATATAGGAGTGACCATGTTATTTGGAAAGTCAAAGGGCCGAATGCAGTGAAACCTCATTTTTACACTCTTTGATGGACTACCTAAAATAAAAATAAAATAAAGGCAAGTGTAAAGTCAGGGAAATGAGAATGATAAAACCTGTGAAAGTGTGGATTGTTTTGTACCGTGAGTTTGGAAGGTAATTTAAAATCTAAATGGGAACCTGGTTCTTTGTTTATTTTACATCTCTGTCAGCTGCTGTTTTTATGTGGACTTAGTAAAATGAGGTGGTGGTGGTGGTGGTGGTTGTAATTAATGAAGGGAAAGGATTACCTACAGATGCTCTTTTTTTAACAATGAAATACACACACATGCATGCTCACACAAGCACACACAAAAGCAAGGGTGCAGAGCACACTTCCTACTGTCCAGAAACCACTGGGTCTGAGTGAGACCGATCCATTAATGCTGTTCAAGGATTTAATCGCAGAAAACCATATTTTCATGTGTATGAGTGACAGCAGTGGTAGTTTGGATTGGTAATTACATTTATTGAACACTTATGGATCATAACTATAGTGCCATCACTAATTCACACTCTGCACTTCTCTACAGCACACACTTAAGTCTCTTCAGTCAGCTATATGTTCACCAGTTGTCTGGTAATGGCTTCCAACAATACCCTCTGCTTCTGTGCTCATGTTATTACCGGCTGGCGACTGTCCCACAACTGTCAACTCTAGACTCCACTCAACTAACTCAACTCAATTCGGTCGGTCGAGTGACAGCCTCAGAGCAGACCCGATAGAAAACACTCTTATTGTGTTGATGTAGTATCACATGCTCACTGTCCACCTGGTGCTGGACCATGTAGCAACACCACTTCCCAGAGTGCTCCATTTTGTTGCATGACATCACCGTGGACGTGACATGTTCCTGTGTTGTGTGTGTATGGGCCATTACCTAGCAACAAGTCTACATGCTGCAATATTTTCAGACTAAATTATTCATGAACTTAATTCACACTTCAGTTACTATGTACATTTCCATTAGTCGTCAAATTTTAAGCATTTATAAAATAGCATAATGTTGGTTTGGGAACTGTAGTAATTTGAAATTCACAGTATTTTGAATAATGTGATACTAAAGTAATGTTTCTTTCTACCTTGTACATGTGGATACCACCCATGCCTGAATAAGAACCACACTCTGGACATGATTTCAAACTTCATAGTGCAACTTGTACATATCCATTATAGGAACAACCAGCAACTATTCTGACTCCGTCAAAAAAGAAGATTAAGAATATTGGCATTTTCCTGAAGGTTGAGGGAGAAGAGGAAGAGGAAGAGGAAGAAAAAGAAAAGTCGCTCAAAGAACCACAAATACTGGGTCGTGGTAAACGGACTGCTGTGTTGGAATCCAAGTTACGGGTAAGCAGAACTTTACTTTAATAATGTCATATAAGGGTGCAGCGTAGTTTTGTGTTTTGGGTCTTAAGGTAAATGTGAAGGGTTATAAATGACACAAAGAAAAGATAGGTCGGTAAATCAAGTATTTAACCCGTTGCCGTGGTTCGTCGTGTCTGTTTCGTCAGGGATTTAAATCGTCTGGGGGGGTTCGTCGTGTATGGTTCGTCCAGCTGCACACCTATGTTATAACGCCCATAATAATTGATGGTTTTGCTGTAGATTGTTAGATTTTTCGCTGGCCTGTTGTCACAAGAACAGAGTATACTAAGCCAACGAGTTTAGCTGAGATAAGTCGTCGTTACATATGCCTGTCTTGCAGCAAATTCGTGTTGCTTCTTGTAGCGGTTTCGTCACTCAATGGCGTATTTGCTTTGCTTGTGAAGTAATAAACACCAGAGAGGTGATGTGTGCTGTTGTATATAATATCATATTGCCCTGAGCTGGCCACACAAACACATTCCATTGGAATTCTTAGAAGAGGGTTGTCCAAAATGTTATTCTCGTAAAATCGATTGCTTTCGCACAGTACATAGCACCCATTTCTTAGAAATACGCCACAATTTAAGGCAGAACACTGTGGTCACCCCCTGAGACGATACGGATGTGTGTGGGGGAGGGAAAAGTACTCATTATCGCTCCAGTTGACGCCATTTTATCGTACTGACCTTGGTGGTCGTTTCGAGAGCCAGCTCTGTGTTTAGACTAATGCTTCAAGGCGTCACCTGCATACATAGCCGAGATACCGGGTGCTCATATTATAAGGCAAGGTTATAAAACCAACTTTTAAGATCATTTTAGTGAAAGTTTCATCCTTCAAGGCGTACCATTCTCTGCTCAAATACTAAATAACATGCTTCCATTGAAGATATAAAGGGGGTTCATATTATAAGGTAAGGTTATAAAACCACCATTTAAGATCATTTTAGTGAAAGTTTCATGTTCCTATCTCATAGAATTTAAGAACAATGATGAATAAATAATTTTCGAGCAAAATTTAAATGGCCGGCTGAATATATTACCGCAGGAGCCGCGGCCGCGGAATTTAAATGACCACGTCAAAAGGTTAATTTTATTTGGCTCAGTACTGCTGTTCTGTTAGGTTATGTCTATATGTGTTCTAAATCTTTTGATATTAAATACAGTGAAGTGGTGACAGTGAGCAAAAAATAAATCCTTTAACTTATTCCGGGGAGAGGGGGGACGTGGAAGGTCTTGCGAACATTTTTTCATCCTAATTGCTGTTTAATTGCTTGAGTAGTTGTAGAATTGGCAGCTCCTCAAGAAGGGCTCAGCTCCATAAGTGATTAAGTAATTGCTGTTTAATACAGAATATTTCTGTATAGTTCCTCATGTCACAGCTGTAAGATTTCAGTAATATACTGCAGCATCCTGTTACTCTGTGTATTATAACTTTGTGTTCTTACCTGTTACCATCTTTGTGCAACTGTGTCAATATATTAATATTCACACATAAGTGCCTTCTCTGCTCATTATACAGCGCTACATGTTTTGTTCTAACTGGCCATCATCAGGTGTATAAGATGTTGAATTAAAGGAACCTGCTGCTCATTTTACATCAGAATGAAAAGCAGAATAGCTTAACAACAGCAGCAGGTTCTGTGAATCCATCATCATCTACACCTGATGATGGCCAGTTAGAACGAAACATGTATTATTATTATCATCATCATTGTTAGGCCTTGGACAATTTTTCAGTTTCTTGATCTTATACACAGTCTGTAGGATTCCTTGGATAGGGGATCAGTCCATCACAAGGCCTCTTATCTACACACAGAACAACACAAACACAGAGTAGATGCACACAGTAGACAGCCATGCCTTGAGTGGGATACACAGTCTGTAGGATTCCTTGGATAGGGGATCAGTCCATCACAAGGCCTCTTATCTACACACAGAACAACACAAACACAGAGTAGATGCACACAGTAGACAGCCATGCCTTGAGTGGGATACACAGTCTGTAGGATTCCTTGGATAGGGGATCAGTCCATCACAAGGCCTCTTATCTACACACAGAACAACACAAACACAGAGTAGATGCACACAGTAGACAGCCATGCCTTGAGTGGGATTTAAACCCGCAATCCCAGCATTCGAGTGAGTAAAAACAGTTCATGCCTTAGACTGTGTGGCCCCTGTGATTGGCAAATGAAATACGTGGTAGAGTCATTAAGTTCGTGGACTGTGGTTTTATTGCATCATATTACAAGGTATTCACGTACACTTACACAGATCCACATCGGCCCTCAAAATAGTTGCAGTTGCCCTGTATGCAAGCCTGTCAACGCTGATATAGCTGCCGAAAACATTGCTGAAACATATTGGCAGGAAATTCCCATACGGCGTCTCTTGTAGCATTGATGACCTCCTCAGATGACTGAAATGTACAACCACGTAGCTTTGCCTTCAAGCGGTGAAAGAGAAGGAAATCGCATGGTGCGAGATCAGGTGGGTACGGAGGGTGTGGCAAAACGGTGACCTGTTGCCTTGCCAGTTCCTCTTGGACAATAACAGAGCTATGTGCAGGGGTGTTGTCATGTAGCAACAGCAATTATTCCTACTCTAAACGTTTCGCTAGGGGATTTGCCTAATTTTTGGCAGAACTTGATGTTTGCCCGTTGTTGAAACTGCCACATTTTCGATTTCCGCCACTTGCATTTAACTGCAGTTCACAATAGAGAGTAGTTCTGCTTACACTGTCTGCACACAACTGCCTCTTACTGTGATGAGAGGTGAACTGACAGGTCACCATATCATGCCTCAACCTATTCACTGTAATGCACTGCAACAACGCTTTGCATCCAGTCCGTGAACTTATTGACTGTGGTAGTATAGTAGTGCTGTATAATGAGAAGAGAAGATGATGAAGTGTGGATATTAATATATCGATGAAGTTGCACAAAGATGGCAGTGTGTAAGAACACAATATAAGATTTCAACATTGTGTGTGAAGGATGATCTTTCTTTCTGTAGTCTGAACACTCTTCAGAAGAGAAACGCAAGCAGCACCAGAAGGAGCTGGCTGAGGCACTGAATGAGGCTGCTAAACAGAGGTTAGCTCAGCAATCAGATGGCAGGGAAAAAGAAAAGGTACGAAAGTCGACAGTGAGCTACAAGACTCACGGACAAATGCCTCGAGAAGTGGAGGTGCGTGATCTGAAAATCTTTGTTGGTAAGTGATCTGCATGTTTTTAGCTACATTTTGCTTATACCAAATTTTATCAGGGCTGCAACAATACAGCTTCCTATCACTTCACACCATTTGCTTAGTCACAGTCCCACAGTTCGAGGTGCATCATTATAGTTATAAAAAGTACTGGAACTGTCAGTTTCTTAACATTATAAATGTAGAGAACCATTGCTTAAACAAGGGCGTTTTTGTCATTTATCATGAGACGGATTCTTAATTAGCCATTGCTGGTAAAGTTAAAGTTGTCTCTGTGCTTAACTAATTAAGTGCTATGTCATGAAGAGGTATGGGGAGTGGATGTATGGACCCACGTTTTCTTGACTTCGGAACTAGTTGGAGGTGAGTGGTCAGCTTCATGCCCCGGCCTCTTTCCCCTTGGGAAAAGAGCCCCAGATACCCATCAGATAGGAGGTTGGGTGGACCCCAGAGTTGGTTTGGACAACATAAAGAAGGGCAATTTCTTGTCCTCACTGGGACTCGAACTCTGACCCCTTGGTCGACCACTCTATAGTCAGTCACTATACCGACTGTGCTATTCCAGCTCTCAGCTGTTGTTGTTCGCTTGTAAATTTCTCACCGTTCTATACCTACCATTTTGCTTTTAAAGTTGTATTGTCTAGCAGTTCATAAAGGTACCATTAACCCCCTCCCCCTCCAGCCATCCATGCCCACCCTTGTATAGGAGAAAGTCTGGATTTCAGAATCTCGAACAGTTTACTTACTCCTGCTAAGTTTTAGGCAGTGAGAATGTTATGTCAAGATGTCTGCTGCAATATGTGGTATCCCCCTCCTTGTCACACATGAACATGCCCTGGCTTGAGTGGAATGCTAATGGCACAGTACAGAACTACACAAATACAGGGTGTCCCAGGAGGAATGTGCCAAACTTCGGGAGGGTGTTCCTTATGTTAAAGTATGCCGATATAACCCAAAACACCTATGTCCAAAGTTGAACAGTTACGGAGATAATGGCCCGAGAAGTGTCAAACTTTGACCGGGGTTACACACTTGTTGATTACAAAATACATATTAAAACTGGCAGGAATATGTGGATTCTGTAATGTTAATAATGTACGTAACATCAAACCAACTTGTGAGTGACGGAAAGCCATAAAATTGAAGTACAAAATACTCGCTCGCCATGTCATAATTGTCCTTAGGTTTCCAAGCAGTATACATAACACATGACTGGCGAGCGATGACGTAACGTGCTGACTGCGCGTTCTGGTATGAGCCAACTACATAAGCACGGCTAGGGAGTATCATCGCACTCAAGGACAAACATAGATAAGGGCTCTCAGCTGAGAGGTACAGCGAGGTACAGTGCTTGGACCTGCCAGAAGACCACACTTTTCTTGGGCCATTATCTCCGTAACCGTTCAACTTTGGACATAGGTGTTTTGGGTTATATCGGCATACTTTAACATAAGGAACACCCTCCCGAAGTTTGGCACATTCCTCCTGGGACACCCTGTATATGTTTAAGGTTTTGACACATCAGACATTTGCTGTGTTTTGGCTTGTGCTGACTGCAAGTGAAGAGCTTAGACCTGAATATGAAACTTGAAATCATACGGCTTTGTGAAGCCAGAAGCTCATCAAAAAGCTAAGTAGGAAGGTAGTATGGATCAACTTCTTTAACATTGTTTATGATGCTGAGGAACAAAGAGAGAATATGGTATCTACTGAGCCTGGGCAGGCATAACATTGTTCCTTTTGTATATGATTATCTATGGGCAAAATTAATTTTGCAGTCTTGGTTTGTGACTGTTAAGAGTGGGAACTGTGAATGGGGCAGATCTTTTGCAGGGCTATTTTCATAATGAGTGTGGTAGCATAAATGTGCCATTTGATAAACAGTTATGGGCTCTCACACAGTTCATATGCCACTACTATAACATGCATCTTAATTTATGTGCAGTGGCTGATTGACAGTCATCATGTGCGTGCAGTGTCAAAAACTAGCATGTATACCAGTTGCAGCATTTAGTATTTTTGTGTACCTGCATAGTCCCTTATTGATCATGTAATTTACTATCACGCACTCAGATTGTCCATCCTCCTATACTCACTGTCTCCATATTTCTCGTAATACTGCAGTCTGCTTCGTTCCTGCTTGCACAGACCCTACCAGCTGCACAAGCAGCGGATGCTGTTGGACAGCATTTGCAGTATGGTACAACGCCGACAAGCAGTGGTCAGTTGGTCGTAAAGTTTGCTTGCAGACTACAGGCCACGAAGTTTGTTTGGCAGTATCTTGTTTCATTACTTTGCTTTTATATTTTGTGTGTGAACACAGTTTGAGTCCTTCTCAATAATCAATGATGGCACTTGCAGGAAAGAGGAAGGAGGTGGGGAAGGGAAGTTGTTATTCTCTGTGAGACTCCCTATGTTCGACCCCCTATTGTATTCAGTACCGTCACAGAGTTTGTATCAATCGTTTTGTCATATGATGAGTTACCAGCAATATAGGCCTGGAGCTGTGGGATTTAACATTTCACATTTTTCCACTAATTGACTCTGTGGTCTCTTTTTCTGACAGACCGAAAGTATGAAACTGTTATACTGCCTGTGTTTGGAATTGCCGTCCCATTTCACATTTCCACCATCAAGAACATATCTCAGTCTGTAGAAGGTGATTACACGTATCTGCGAGTGAACTTCTTCCATCCAGGAGCTACTATGGGACGCAATGAAGGCGGTTCATATCCGCAGCCTGATGCAACCTTTGTTAAAGAAGTGTAAGTTCTGTTTTTGTCATTCATTTGTATGGGCATAAGTACATTAGGGCCATATTTCACTGCCATTAATGGGCTTATTTGCTTAGCTGTAGAAGTTGGGTGAGAGCAGATCTCTTGATGCTGTAGATGCAGATGGGCCTGTTATGCCTGCCCGTGATATTAAACTACTATCTAGCATTTCTGGAGAGAAAAACCTGCCCCATTTCCACTTGGTCCACAACAAATCTCATATTCACTGCCCTACTATTGAAATCAGACCTCTGGAGTGAGAAGCTGGTGGTACCTTACTGCCTGAGCTGTGGAATGAACAAGAATGAGCATAGTTAATATATCTGTTCATAAATTATACAGCATGGAAAGTATATGTTAAGTATATTTAAATATTGTTAATGCATTGCCTTAATTTTATTTGCATTTATTATTTCTACATGTATGAATTTTTGTTTAAGGATGCTTTAACTTATTCGCTTGAAAGTTCAGAATATAGGTACAATCCATCTGGAACTTGAACTCAGATGTATGATCACTGGTTAATCGTGTAGTCCATTAGAAATTTCATATATTTATTGTCAATATACTTCTGATATTCACATACCAGTGGGAAGTTCAGACACTGCTTCAGAGAGCAGAGGATATGGATGGTGATGTAAGACACTGGTGCCGGACTGCATGGCAACACCACTTCCCTTAGCTCTCATATTCTTGCATGATGTCACTGCAGATGCAGATGTGACATGTTCCACTGTTGTGTGTGCAATTATTGTTAGCCGATAAGTTGTTTACTGTGCTGTAACCTAGTAACGGCTCTCATGTCAGTTATGTCACAGTATTATGCTGCAGCATCTAACATTGTGTTCTCACTCCTCGCCATCTTTGTCTGTCTTCATCGATATATTAACATTCACACAGGAGCATCTTCATCTCTTATTACTGTACAATACATGTTTTAGCCTAACTGGCCATCATCATGTGTATAAGATGTTGGATTGAAGGAACCTGCTCTGTGTTATTAGACTTGTGCTTTTCATTTTAATGTAAAATGCTTATAAAATACTTTACTTTAGATTATCATGCCATTGTTATGCATGTGTTTGGTGTATGCTTTTGTTGATGTGTTGGTCTATCCTTTTGTGCTTTGTGTGTAGCTGTTCTCTCTGTTATAACGTTGAACATCTTCAGGGTATATGTCTTTCTTTATCTGCAGAACATACCGTAGCACAAATGTAAAGGAACCTGGCGAGCTGTCAGCACCATCGTCAAACTTGAACACTGCCTTCCGTCTCATTAAGGAAGTGCAGAAGAAATTTAAGAACCGCGAGGCAGAAGAACGTGAGAAAGAAGATCTTGTGAAACAAGATACACTTGTGATGTCCCAAAACAAAGGCAACCCAAAACTCAAAGACTTGTATATTCGACCAAACATTGTTACTAAGCGTATGACAGGTAATTATACATTCTGTTTGTATTGAAGCTTTGTTTTATCAGCTTAAGGAAAAGGTTTGTGTGTGTAAGACCTTGGGAGAAATGTCTCTTTTTGTGTAGGGTGTGGCGCCTTTCCTTGTCGGTATATACAGTCTTGTGGAACATCATGTACAGTTCCTCAGTTTAGGATTTTCCCTCATTGAATGCTCATAAGTGATCCAAGCCAGTTCACTATTCAAATCCACTGGTGCTCCTAAAAGTAACCTTAAATAAGGGTTTCACTGTATATCACATTTTGTAATATTGTTAACCCCTTAAAACCAAACATGAATTAGTGCACACCCTGTCCCCATTTCTGCCAGTCAGCTGGTGTTGCAGGTATCTGTGTCAGGCTGTACAAACCTAACTAGCTTTGCAGTCTTTCTGCACTTACATTAATCTATAATATGTTCACGCGCAGTTGTGAAAAAATTTTGGATATTTTGCTGGCTACAGTTACATGTTCCAAAAGCACCTATATCAAATCTTACTGATTTTCCAAAAGTTCATTGTAAATAATTACTTTTAATTTTGTGGTGACCCTTGTGGTATATAAGGATGCCCTGGAAGGCCACAGTTTAATGTATATTAGCTCATGTTAACAAGTTAAAGTTTTCTCATATAATTAAAAAATGAATGGGAGTGAGGAATCCAGTCACACCCAAAGCCTCTACTGCAATACTCATGTGTCACTCAGCAGCTGCTGACAACTGTACATATTGGCGATTGGTAAGGCTATGTGTCATAATATCGTTGGTTGTTGTCTCTTCAGTCTGCAGTAGGAAGCAGCACAGAGAGGTTATATTTTTATACAAAGAGTACAATACAGAATCATAAATGGGTTTAAAACTTGTATTTGAGGCAGACCTCTATTTAACTAAAGTGCGTTCTTCAGGATGAGAGTAATTTTCAGAGTATTTATGATCAAAATGATAAGCACACCACTTTGTAAGCTAATCATTACAGATTTTCATTTCTTCCCCTCCAGTCTTTATCATTTGTTTTGAAATATTCCTAGAAACAGTACAGAACAGAAAACAACAGATAATTCAAACAGACTCTTTTGTGTCGGTATAGCGACTCTATACAGGCTGGATGACCTCCATGTTCAGACCAGCTCTGGGGTCCACCCAACCTCCTATCCAGTGGGTACCGGGGGCTCTTTCCCCATGGGTAAAGCAGCCAGGGTGTGAAGCTAACCACCCACCTCCAACTGGTGCTGAGGCCAAGAAAAGTGGGTCTATACATCCACTCCCGTATACACCTTCATGGCGTAGTGCATACTTAGATAAGTACAGGGACAATTTTACCTTTACTTCTACTGTATCTCCACAATTGCAAAGTGAGAGAATGTGTCTGTTATAAATCCAAAACTTCCCAGTTCCTGAAATAATTTTATGCTGTATTGTTGAGCTTCTCACAGTGGTAACTGTGAACTTCTTATGAGATGTAATGCCATGGAGTTCGATAGCGAGTCACTGGTGTTTCAGAGGAACATCCTGATTTGACAGAAGCTTCCCATCTGCTTCTTGCCAGCTATTTGCCTGGTGATCTCTTTGACCTCAGAAATGGAGGCAGTGAATTCCTCCAAAACATTGGTGAACTTTACCAGACCACACAGCATTGTGGAAGGTAGTAATCTTAATTATAGGGGCTGTGCCATAGCTCAGGTGGTTAGTCCACCGGCTTCCCACCATTTCCCCTGCCAGTCTTGATTCCAGCAAATGCTCCACATTCACCTATCATCCGGGGCTGGTACAGTAAGGAAATTAATGGCTGACATACCAAGTGGACTCAGCCTCACCCCACCTCAAGAAATTAAAAAAAAAAATCTTAATTATATGGTGTGTCTACAGGATCATTGGAAGCACATGTAAATGGGTTTCGGTACACGTCAGTACGGGGCGACAAAGTAGATATCTTGTACAACAACATCAAGAATGCATTCTTTCAGCCATGTGATGGAGAAATGATTATCCTGCTTCATTTTCATCTCAAGGTGGGATTTCACGGAGTACTTTTGAGTATTATTCCAGCAGTTTTATTTTTCTGGTTGAAGTTCTCATTTAGTGTTTATACGTAATGGTGCTTAATTGATGAGCAACAGATTATAATTCCAACAATAGGACCCAAACATTTGCATATAATGTTGTGTTTGTAACTTTCTCCTACAGCATGCTATCATGTTTGGCAAGAAGAAACATGTTGATGTGCAGTTTTACACTGAAGTTGGTGAAATAACCACGGACTTAGGGAAACATCAGCATATGCACGATCGAGATGACTTAGCCGCAGAGCAGTCTGAGAGAGAGCTGCGGCACAAACTGAAAACAGCATTCAAGAGTTTCTGCGAGAAGGTGGAGGTCATGACCAAGCAGGAAATTGAGTTTGATACTCCATTCAGAGAACTTGGCTTCCCTGGTGCTCCCTTTCGCAGCACTGTGCAGTTACAACCGACCAGTGGTTGTCTTGTAAATCTAACAGAGTGGGTGAGTAAACTGCATCATATTACTAGCTGTCACTGGTGCCAGCATCAGGGTATAAATTTGTATTGAGGCTGGCACAAACTGTGAGCTTATAATTACACTATTTGATGACTCATTTCAAAGCATACTTCTCAGTAACACAGACTCTGATCACATGTCATTTGCCATATTTAACCTCCATGGTTAGCATCGTGCCATTCATCCAGTCACTGCCTTAACTGTGACTCACTTTCTAATGCGAGAGCTGTGTAATTACTACAGAACCTCTCCGAAACCTGAAGATGGCAACTGCAAGGTTCACTGAAACACTGGGAAATGGTCGGTGTTCTGTGTGGCCTGGCCCTAAAAGCTGAAGGCACACATGCTGATGAGAGTTATGTTTCTGATATATATTCAAACCAGATTTCACACACTTGGCACCAGTGATTCATTGGTTATAGCCATCAAATTAAAAGTATAGATATGAATCTGTCATGTTGTTTATGTTTTTGAATAATTTGGCGTCACAGAAAATCTCGTACTTGTTGGTCTGTTACTGTTCACAATTTCGGGACTGTGTCGACACCAGGGCCCCTTCCACCAGCATAGCTGATATGCATGTCACAGTTGTATTCAGAAAAGCAGAAGGTGGAATTACAAACATGCCATGACCTCTGATGGTATGGTTTTCATACCTGGAGTCATGGAAATATCAGTTTATTCTCATAGTTACTGAAAGGTACATACCCCCAGCTGGATACACAATTATCATACCATAGGCCTAATCTACTAGAAATATTAAAGTGCATGATTTATTTCATGAGTTTAACTATAAATTGTCATTTTTCCTCACTGTTCATTGTGTATGATTCGTGAGTGATCTGGTGTAATTTAGGATATAAACAAACGCATTTGATATCCAGGCTTTTTCTAGACTTGGCAGTGGTCAGTGGAGGTTAGTTTTCTCATAAACGCGTGACTGCCTGTGGACCACATCTCAATCAAGTGAGAGGATGGCTTGTTGCATGTAATGTCCTGTTAGCTTAAAATTTGCCAGATGCTGTGATCCTAATTTTTGGGTTGACATGGAGGGGGGGGGGAAGACTCAGAGAAATTGAGTGTGTGTATTGTAGATAAACGTTGTCCCTTATGCTGTATGTGGAAGCTCCTCTCTGTTGACTTCCTGTAATTTTTTTGTATATATTCTGTTAACAGCCTCCATTTGTTATCACCCTCGAAGATGTTGAGCTGGTACATTTTGAACGTGTGCAGTTTCATCTGAAGAACTTTGACATGATCTTTGTCTTCAAAGATTACCATCGCAAAGTATCCATGGTTAATGCTATTCCCATGAACATGCTTGATCACGTGAAGGAATGGCTGAAGTAAGTAACGCATTATGCTTTTGTTTGTATTCTACTCTAGCAACTTAATGGCTACATTTTAAAATAAATACATGCTTACTAGGTGCTGAAATTATTGGCCACTGTGTGATGCTGTGGCTGTTGGAGGGATGATAACTGGTGGCCTTAAGAAGCAACAAATGGTATCCAGCAATCTTCCATTGATGTACATGTGAACTTTTATATAGACATGCACATGTATCTTATACAGTCAGCTGTACCAAGGCAGAGTCGATTTTCAACATTTCAGAGGCTGAAGGACACTGTATATTCTGCGGTGTGATGCTAAGTTGTCTGATAGAAGTTCAACATTTCAAGGATCATACTATCCCAATCTTCAGGGTCGAAGAGTAAGCCAAGCAAGTAGCAAACAGCTTAGCTAAAATATAAAACACAAAAGTTATGGTACTTGTTACTTGCTGCATTTTAGGTGTGACATTCTAGAAATGAAACATGTTAGAAAGGAAAATGAATATACATAAATTATATGGGAAAGTTTTAGGAGCAAATTCTCTTAACCTTTTAGTGTCTGCTTAAATGGGTTGTATTTACTTACTCACGGAGCTGAGCCCTTCTGGAGGAGCTGCCAATTCTGCAGCTACTCAAGAATTTCCCAGCATTTTATGGAACCGGAAGGTTCATTGCCGTGTTCGCAAGAGCCCTCCACCAGTCCCCATCCTGAGCCAGATCTATCCAATCCATACCATCCCATCCTCTCTAAGATCCATTCTAATATTGTCCACCCACCTACGCCTTGGTCTTCCCTGTGGTCTCTTTCCTTCTGGCTTTCCCACCAATATCCTATACACATTCCTCGTCTCCCCCATTCGTGCTACATGACCTGCCCACCTCATCCTCCTCGACTTGATCATTCTAATTATACTTTGAGAAGAGTACAAATTATGAAGCTCCTCATTATGGAGTTTTCTCCAACCCCCTGTCACTTCATCCCTCTTTGGTCTAAATATTCTCAAAACACTGTTCTCAAACACCCTCTGTCTGTTTTCCTCCCTTAATGTCAGAGACCAAGTTTCACACCCATACAGAACCACAGGCAAAATTATAGTATCATCACATCATACACCCATTATTTAAAAAAAATGGGTTGTACTATATTATTTTATAAATGTAGGAAACCCAGAAGTAAACTTTGATGTCTAAACTGTAAATTTGTTAAGTTTAAACAGGGAGTTTCTGCTAGTCATTGGAAAGAGGTTAATATGATCTATACTGATAGTAAGGCGAGTGAAATGTTTGAGCCTGCTAAGCTGAGATGCCATTGTGTGTGCCTTCATTTGTATAATTAGTGAATAATTTTAATGATCTGTTCTCTTGCTCCTGATTACAGCTCATGTGACATTCGCTACTCAGAGGGTATACAGTCTTTGAACTGGACCAAGATAATGAAGACTATCACCGATGATCCTGAAGGGTTCTTCGAGAATGGTGGATGGACTTTTCTGGATCCTGAAAGTGACGATGAAAACAATGCTGAAGAAGTGGAAGAAGAAGAAGAGGATGATGCTTATGAGGTTGAAATAGTATAACCAGGGTAGCAAATTGATATGAAGAGCATAGTTTTTGGTCTGATCAGTTTTCAGTGGAGACAGAAACAGATATTGATGTCTGTCTGTAACCCTTTGAAGTGCCATGGACAGTAGAACAGTAGATTGAAATGGGTGTTGCAATTAGTGTACTAATATATTGAGGTTATTTGGAAGTTGACCACAAGTTGTTCTGCTGCTCAGGTCAGGGAGGGGCTCTTCCTATGTATATTTGGGCCCAGAATATAATCAACAAGTTTCTAAGCCAAGAAAAAACAAGCACACCTGATACATATCATAGCAGATGCCAGAAATAATTCTTATATTATGCACACATTCCCTGGACACACACAAAATTGCTACATTCACAGTTCGAAGTTCTCTCAGAAATAGGGCAAACTACTTCAGACTTAGAATCTTTAAGTTTATATCCCCAGTCTTCTATGGAAGATGTCAGATGAATTTTTGAGGAGAATGTTCAAGCCCAGCACCGATTTCACTCGGTTTTTCTTTGGTGAGCACTTGACATTTTGAGTCCTTTTTCTGTCAAATAACAACCCTGTCTGTCTCAGGTTACTTGTGGTTACATAAACAGTTTTTCTCTGGAAGCTGCACTGTGCTGCTACCTAATGAGAAAACCTATTATATCCATTGCAGCTGTTTTACTTCCGTTTATGACCTATTTATTGACTTCTTCATATAACATGCAAATTGTTTCCAGATGCATGTTGATATGGACATTTTTTCTTGTTTTGGTATGTGAAACTTTTGTACAAAGTTTGACTGTACCTTTCAATTACACCCAGTATTTCATGGTGTTTGGAGCACTGGGAGGCCATCTATGCTGCAGTTTATTTAAAGTTGTTTTCAATTAGAACCTTTTAACAAACTGTGGATGTTGCTCCTCCAGTAAGATATTTTTTTCTTTCAGCCATCAGATGTTTACTCTGAAGAGTCAGACGATGACTCGGATTACTCAGAATACTCAGAAGACAGTGAGAGTGAAGGTAAGGTGTGCCTTTTTGCATTTATTGTGTTTAAACATGTAGCTAATGAACTGTCAGACTTATTTGCTGTGGATCTTATTGTTAGATGATTGTATAGTGGCCTCCGTAGCCTAGGGGTAATGTTCCCACCTCATGACTCAAGTTACGTGGGTTCAAACCCTGCGGAGGTCGTGGAATTCTAAAGGGTGGAAAAATTAAGGGAACAAGTCCTCCAGGAGGGACTTTAAGCTGTGGGTCCCGTGTCGTAGATTTACGGCACGTAAAAGATGCTCATGTCTCTAGGAGACCTCTGAGCAAAATTAGGCAAAAAGTTTCCCGGCCAAGTAGTTTCCAATGCCTCCGGTAGATGGGGAAGGTATCGGGTACCAATGCCAGTAGAGGGCCGGCCTCGCTGACAGAAAAGGGAGAGTAATCGGGTACCACTGTCAGTAGAGGGCCGACCTTGCTGGCAGAAAGGGGAGATAACAGGCACCAATATCGGAAGGGTATGGCGACAGAAATTAAAGGGGGACGTACAATAGACTGTTAGTCGCGGTGCATTGGGATACCCACCCCCTCTATGCTGAATAACTGATTGTATACATTTGTTTTGAAGTGTCTGTAGTGCGCATTTAAGCTAGGATTACAGTCTTCTGGGATGTGACAATGTATAGTGTGACAGATAAATACATGTTGCCACCACTGAAGTCTGAAATCTTTTACAGCTAGGCATACCATTTACAGAGTTGTGAAGACAGGTGGTGGTGGTGGTGGTGAATTGGTAGCTCTTCAGGTAGTAGCTCTGAATAGTTTGTGTTGTTCACAAAAACACAGGAAGATAGGCACTCCTTGATTTCTAAGCTTCTCTCATATAATTCTTATTCTGTTATGGATGCAGTATGATTAAGTCAATAAATATTATAGTTGTAGGTTGAAATCTTTGGTATATGACGTTTCTATTTAAATCATGGAACAGTGTCTGCAGCAGACACTGGCATTCTCCTTCAAAAATAAGGGTGATGATGGAATTAATTTTTTGCCTGCTGTGTGTTATGAGAACCTGGTGCAGCTGAACTGTTTCTTTGATACTATGATGCTGATGAAATAGTTTGAAGCAATATGGAGTCAGTTTGCACAGGAATGGTAACCGTTTTGAACAATGAATACTCGTAAATTCTGCAAAATTGTTACCATTGCTGTGCAAACTGTGGCATATGTAAATGGCCTGTCAGTACTGGGTGAACAGACAAATGCATCATCATTCATGTGTATATGTGTGTTGCCCAGAGGAAGAGCTGGCAAGTTCAGAAGAGTCGGGTAAGGACTGGTCAGATCTGGAGCGAGAGGCAGCTGAGGCAGATAAGGAACGCAGTGACTTCCAAGATGAATATGCTGGTTCAGACAAGAAAGGAAAAGGAAAACGACCTGGGAGTTACAGAGGACGAAAAGATTCTGACCAAGACAGGTTAGCATCTCCAATAATTTTTGGAAGAAATGCACTCTTTTTATATGTAGCAAGTTGATTTTATGGTGTGGCAAGCATAGATGTATAATAATCATATGCTTTAACAGGCTTTTAAATTTTGATGTCCTTTTAAATGTGTTTAGGAGCTAGGATGGCCCAGTCAGTACATATAACGACTGGCTACAGACTGGACAACTGAGGGGTCAGAGTTCGAGTCCTGGTAGGGTCAAGAATTCTCTCTTCTCCATGTCATCCAGACTGACTCTGGGGCCCACCCAGTGTCCTGTCCAATGGGCACCAGGGGTAAAGTGGCCAGGACGTGAAGCTGACCACTCACCTCCAGCTAGTGACGAGGTCAAAATATGGATCTATACATCCATTCCCCCATATACCTTCATGGCATAGTGCGTAATTAGTGAAGCACAGGGACAGCTTTACCTTGCCTTTTACTTTAAGCTAACCCTGTGCTTAACTAATTAAGTGCTACGCCATGAAGGTGTATGGGAGAGTGAATGTATAGATCCACATTTTCCTTGACCTCAGCACTAACTGGAGGTGAGTAGTCAGTTTCACGACCCAGCCGCTTTACCCCTGGGGAAAGAGTCCCTGGTACACATTGGATAGGAGGTTGGGTGGACCCCAGGGCTGGTCTGGATGACATGAAGAAAATTCTTGACCCCTCGGTCGTCCAGCCCGTAGCCAGTTGCTATACTGATTGCACTTCTTACCTTATAAAATGTTTACTGTGTTTCCTCACATAATTTGGGCACTTTAACCAAAAGTTTCTTGCTGGAAGATGTGTTTGGAATATTAGCAGTAGTTTCCAAAGCATAATATTACACATTTACTTTAGGATAATGAAATTACAGCTGCACAGTATGGAAGAGGAGGCAATTTGTGTGAGAGAGAATTACAGTCTCTTTTTATTTTAGCATATTTTGAATTCCCAGCTGTGTGATTGTCATATTTTCCTGTGTTAGACACTTCCAAATTTCTACCCATTACTTACAGCTGAACATAAGACAGTACAAACTGACAATACAGTATGGCACTCAACATATGACACATTTGACATTGGAGTCCCACAAACTATAACGGATTATTTTTATGAAAGTTTCCCTCTGCCACATACTTTCAATTTCCATGTTATTGAGTACAGATCAGTCCCTCTTGGCACCAGGCAGTAAAGGTGCAGTATATTGAAAGTCTAAAGAGTGGCTTTATAGCATCTGCTTTTTGAATGGAGTGGTGAGTGAGCTTAGCAGCACTTTGTAATGTTTTTCATCACAGCATTTGTGATCCTCAAGCTGTTATTGATTGATGATATAAAATGTTTTATGGAAATATGTTTTTGTCTGTGCTCTCTTGGAGGGTCAAGAATGAAATGAAACAGTGCTGCAGCAACTTTCACGCTCAGCAGTCATTCTGCCCACTCTCTGAAGCACAACTTGCATTATCTTCGCGAGGAACAAAAGAAATATCATTAAGACAGGGAGGGTGGAACATCTGGGCAGTGCATTACTGGAGGGCTGTGGGTGTGTGTAGACATCTCATAGGCTGTGTTTGGGCAAATAATATCTTCATGCTGATACAAAAATAAGACAAGCATACATAAATATGCAATGCAGCTTCAGTTCTTAAAGAGATTTGTTAGGATTGATTAGATATATAAGATGACATACTTTTTTTGTTACTTCCACCAATATTTTAAATACAAATTCTGGCATACTCTAATGTTATTCTATATTGTAATTTTCATCATAACACAAGGCATAATTTTCTAAAACTTTTACAGCTTTTATAATAGGGATTCATTGCACCACAACATGGATCCATATTGCGATTTCAGTTAACTTCATCCTATTTATTATATACACTGCCTGATAATGGTCCCATGAGGGCCGAAACATGCAGCGGTAAACAATAAAATTCAAATATTGATTTTAATTGTAGTACCATTTTTCCTTGTTGTGTTGAAGGATATATTACCTAACCATACATGACAGACTTTATTTCATAAATACATGCATTGTGGGTGATTAACTGTTTCTCTTAACCAGATGGATTCATTACAAAATAAGAAGTTCCTACACTTTTATGAACAGATGCATTGGTGTGTCACTGCCAGTGCAAAATTTTATTGTCACGTTTTTTATGCAGTGTGATTATAGACAGGGTTTGGATTGGTAATACACACAACTTGTAACTACAAGTAGCTGTAGCCCTGTTGCTAATTCACACTCTGCAGTTCACTACAACACATGTAGGTCTTTTCAGGCTACTATGTCTTCACCAGTCTCTGGTAACGGCTTGCAACGCCAGACATTCCCCTTCTTCTGGGTTCCTGAACTGTCCCTCTGCCTCAGACAGCAGCTTCTAACTGCAACAGCTTACAAGGACAGAACCGCAGCAGTCCTCTAACTCACTCGCCAACTATTATTATTATTTGGAGGGGGTGGGTTTCCCCATGCACTGCGACCATTTGTTGATCTATTGTGCGTCCCCCTTCCACTCCACTCCACTCCAACCCAACTCACCTCACCTCACCCCACCCCACCCCACCTCACCTACTAATTGTACATTTTCTTTCATGTCAGTTGTCAAGGAAGAGAAAGGAAAAAGGAAATGGTTTAATTGTATAGATTACAACACTTTTCCAAATGAATATGGTACCACTATTGTCACTGCCACATGTGGATAGATAATCTCAGACACTTTTTTAAAAAATGTTTCTTTTCCTCATTTCTGAGTCGTTAATAGTTAGTATTAAGCTAGGAAAACAAAAACAAGAAAAACTGTATTCCAGAAGACTTTGTGATGAAGGAATTGTTTATTTGGTGAGTAGGATGTGTCATACTTGATCAAGCTGGGCACGTGGCTTTGTCCTGCACCTTATGCAAGCCGATGTATACTCACATTTTTAAGTACATATATTTACTTTCCCCCAAAGCCATTGTATTAGAAGACATACAGGATGGGACAAAAGTTAGAGTACAATTTTTTAGTCATTTTGGCAATTTACCATTGTTTTTTTTCTGGGTTTGTGAGAATGTTAGCAGGGCATGCAGTATTTTTTTTAATTAGCTTAGTGGGGGGTGGAGTCCAACTGGGATTGACCCAATGGGCGGCCACTGTTTGGCCTATTGGGCCAGAGCATGCAGTAACGTAGTTGATTGAGGCACTATGCTACAAGCTGGAAGGTCAAGGTTCGATTCCCGATGAGGTCATAGGATTTTTCAATTGACCCAATCCTTCCAGCCGCACTATAGCCCTGGGGTCTACTCAGCCTCTGATAGAAATGAATACCAGGAATCTTCCTGGGTGTAAAGGGCAGTTGGCATGTAAGGCTGACAACCTCACCACCATCTGTGAGCCGATTGCCTAGAAAATGTGGGAACCTGGACTTCTCACAACCCTATGGGCCTTCATGGCCTGCTTCAGGGATAGATTTACCTTACTTTTACCTTATGAGAGTGTTAGCACATGTCTATACTGCTGTTGTTTCCTGCATGCGAGAAAGTCATGATGTGAACTGTATGTCTTCTGTGCAGGGTGTCAGCTTCAGCAGCTTTCAAAGTAGGAATGTGGGAGTAACCTACAGCTATATTCAATTTTACTTTTCCGCTTAAGATAATATATTGACTCCCAGACTTTCTTTCAACCTGTAATGAATATTTGTATTGTCTGCAGGCACTCCTCCAAGCACAAAAAGAACAGCAGTAGTTCAAATCACAAGGACAACCACAAGAGCAGCAACAAATCTGATGCTAAACACAGGTGTGTACTGATGTCTCCTGTACTTCAGTTAACTGCAGTACATCTCTACCTAGTAACACTGTACAGGGATCCCCTTCTTATCTTGTTTGCAACATTAATGTCTTGAAAGCAGAAGCAATGGAAGCAGTTATGTAGGTGTGGCCTGTACTGCAAGTGTTTGTCTCCTTTTCCTCACCACCCTCTTTTTCCTTCTTCACCGTCATGATCTAGCAGTGCTGCTGTTTTACTCGTATGTTTACAGATGGTTTCTTGTAAGGTAAAAGTGATGATGACGATGGTGATGCTGTTTGTGGGTAAAGGTGGCATGTTTAGGTGGGCTCTATTGTCAGCATGCCAGAAATCCAGCTCCATCTTCAAGGAAAACTGAATACTCTGTGGCCCTTACCAGTACCTACATCTCAGCGGATGGATATCAGGGAATATCCAGTGGGAAATGCAACAGAAATGTAGTTTTTTTTTGGGGGGGGGGAAGAGAAGCATCTGATATGTTGAAGAGAACTTGTATAGAAGGTGTGGATTGGTGGGGAGTAGGAAAAGTCACAGAAATTATCCCTGGGTGGGCAGATAAAATTTAAGGCAGGATTACAAATGTCAGTTTTATCGTCCTTGTGAATTGGTACAGTAATCGACTCCTTCCACTTATTAGGCAGTTCTTCTTTACTCCAGACAGAATTAATGAATTTATGGATCTCAGACTATAATGTTTCACCTCCTGCTTGAATCAGTTGTGCCAAAATTTGATCTCTACCTGGAAATTTATACCTTTTCAATATTATATTTCAGCATCCTGTTACACTCACACAATATATATGGACAAATACCGTCTTAAGTGCAACAATTTTATTGTAGTTTTTACTTCTTTTTCCTCCTCCACACTACATGTTTCGGCCCTAAATGGCCATCATCAGGTGTGTATCACTCACGTAACTGTTACACTGCTTGTTAAAAATGTAAAAATCCCAGTCTTTCTAATTGTATAAAATCTTTGTTAATCTACACGCGTCGATTTGATTTTTAAATTAGCACTTTTTAAACCTTAATTCAAGTTAAAATGTCTATAAGATCTTTGTTCTCTTTCTTTTTCAAATTAAAATTTTTCAGGGTACATGCCCTATATCTACGGTGCTGCAGCGGCCACTTCTTGTTTTTATCGCTGTTCATGTGTTGTC